CGTTCGTTAGCATCGAAGACCAAAGTTCGGTCGTTCGTTCGTGTCCAGCTACTTCGGATCCACCTGCTCGCGATCGGTTTGTCTCCTAACCTAGGGTTTTTAAATTTTTTTTGAATGCTTGTACATTAGGTTGAAGAAATATCATGTGCTTTTATTGTGATTTCTAAGGAAATAATTTCAAGTGGGAAACAACTATGATAGCAATGTGCATGTAAGCAATTATATATAAAATTCGGACTTTGCTCTGCCTACTTCTAATGAAATCGTTAAACATGAACTCCTGCAGCCCGAACAAACCATCCCAATGATGATATTGAATATAGATTTCTTATTATTATATTTTTTTCTATTGAGAGCCAACAACCAGCAGGTTTTTGCTTTTCATCTTCTCCAGCGGAATCCGTCTGCTTCGCGATGGTACAGAGCAGTTTAAAAGGTCCTTGCGTATTGTAGGGCAAGGTTAAATCCAACGTACATCTAATCTATGTGTGGGTACTGAAAATTCGGCCCCGGCCTCCCCGCTGCACTGACTGTGTTTTTTTGTTTTTGGCGAGGAAGTTTTAACGGAATAGGTTCCGGGGTAAATTTTGGTACACCCAATAAGATACATGGGATGATTTTGAAGATGACCAATATTGCCAAACTTGCTATCCAAATTCACAATTTTCATATACCTCTCATGATGCCCATGGTCTCACTAATCTTTTATACTATCATTGATCACATCATACTTCTCATAAACTACGTGATTACGATACCTATGATCACACTCATTTCATTTTTTTTATCAATCACATCAAATTTTGTATGAAACACACCATGAAATCAAAATTTATGTTTGTCTTCAAGCCATCATTACAAACCATCTGATCACTATCCACACACAATCATTCATTCAATCCTCAACCAAATTATCATTACACTTAATTACATCATCCACCACTCTCGCAAACTAAACAAAAACCCAATGTTTCTACTCAATTCCACAAACTCCACATTACGACGGCTTTAAAAACTCCACCAAATTCATTTGCTCCATCAGTCTTGCTATTTCGCCTACTTTTGTTGAGAATCATACCCAAGCTTAAGATTGATATAGTAACCAAACTTGAGTTTGATGACGAGCTAGAATTTGAGCCCAATTATATGTGTAAGCTTAAACTTAATCTATAGATTATGCCAATACTTGATTTTACAACTCTATATTGATTTGAAAATATTATTACATTGATCTATGAGCTAGAGATGTGAGATATCGTTAAGCTCAGGAGCCTCCAATCATTGTTCCTCAATTTCTATAGATAGAAATATAGGTTGTTCCCCCAATGTCCTATCACATTGCCTGGTCCATCACAAATTGACTTAGTTTTTCCAGATTCAACCATCAGATCATTATATAGGTGATCATAATACAATCATAATGTATGAAAGCATCTAGATTCTCAATTGGTTGAGTTACAAAATGCTCTCTAGTACCCTGTAATTTTTCTTACTCCACTCTCAATGTTATAAGTTGCTTTGTCTATTGCTATTACCCTAGCCATGTTATCATGGGACCCTCAACCATGCTAATGATTTGTTACGCTTGAATGATAAGTGGTGATATCCAGCTCCAAAACCCATATGTTATATATTGCTTGTTCAAATATCTCTCAACACACATGCTCTTTATGATAGGCATCAACCTCCTCCACATCCACAAGACTATAGTTGTTGATTGCTCTTGGAGAATTGAAAGTACACATGAGCATGTTTCCCAACACCTCCATGGACACCAATTCATCCAATTCAAGGAATAGTTTTTTACACCACAAGAGAGTTAATACAATACAAACTATTTAACATTTTACATTTACCTTAATTGGACATATCATCACCTCCATTATTTAGATTTATTATGAAATAAACGTGGGATCAAGAAATTATTTAATAAAAAGATGTTTTATGAAAATTTCAATATTATTTCTCTTGATTGCTTTAGATATTTATCTTTTCTTTTATAAGAGAATTTTGATGAATCATATGAATGCAAAGATATTTACATGCAAGAATCTCTCTTTCCCTCCCTCCCTTTCTCTTGCTTTTGTTCTTGCTTTTGCATGCCCAACAAAAAAACCAATAACATGGAGATTGTTAGCTCCAAATAATCATCGATTCCAAGTGAGTATGTTAACTCTAGCGAGCACCAAAGCATCAGGTCTGCTCATGTGCTAAGCATAACAATAGCATACAATTTGCACATCTTTATCATCTCATAAATATAAACATTAAAAATGCAACATTTCACTAGTGAGAATGAACGATTCCAACATGCTCATCAAAAAAATGTTGGATGTAGCACATAATACTATGACAACTCAACCATAACATAAGGTGTAGTAATAGTAAGCTAGGTGCTAATAAACATGTTAAAATAAACACTAATGCAAACATATAATAATCAATCCAAACCTACATACCACATGCATCAACATAAGTAGGGTGCACAGTTGAATACTGAAAACCAATAAGAAATAGTGAGAAATAAATGAAAAGATACCAAAAAAATCAATCCTCAAGACATCAAATTGTTGAATCCTCAAAAAAAGAAAATCAAGAACCTAAAACAAAGACCATAGGAATTTTTCATTAAATTCATCATAACATAGTTTTTTACAATGAATATGAGGCTATTTATAGAAATTTTAAACTAGCCCCAGCTTAATTTCAAGAAAATATTCATAAAAATAAATATAAATATAAATAAGGGCAAGAAAACTAGGAAGCCAAAACAATTATTGTAGGACTTTCTCATTAAATTCATCACAAAGTTTAAGGAACTATTTATTAAAATAGTTTGATAACTAAAACTCCAAAGCAAGGCTAATTGTAAGAGAATCTTCATAAAAAATAAATATACATAAATAACTACTAATTGTGAATAAATTAAAATTTTAAATGCATAAATAAAACACTATTTGGAGTATCATAAATCGTATGAATGACCACTTTAATTCCACCAAGGCGAAAAAAACTCTCCAAGGAGCAAGAGTTCAAATCTCTATAAAAGGCTGAGTAAAGAATTCATCATAGCATAGTAGCAAATGGGGCTATTTATAAAAATAGTTTGATAATTAATTATTCAAATTACCCCCAAGGCTAATTACAAGATAATATTAATAAAATTAAAAAAAAAATAAATAAATAGCTGAATTATGAAAAAAAAATTAAATGCATAAATAAAAGCCCAATCTATTTGAATCATCGCCAATCAAATGATAGACTACATTAATTCCACTAAAGCACAAAGAGCTATTCTTTAGAGAGTAAAAGTGGTGGAGACTCTCTGAGACTAAAGTAGTAACAAAACATTCCATGGAAGGAGCTTGCAATTTCTTGAAGATAGACAATACCTGCATCTTGTAAGAAACTTTTGTGGCAATTCCAAATGCTACATCAAACTCCAATCTTGATGAAATGCCTTTGAGTAGGAGAGCAAGCACAAATCTTAACAAATATGATGGCAATCTTGAAGGTAGAAGAAGGCCATTGTAGGAATGTTATAACACACTGAGAGGAAATGAGTTGCATTATTTAAGCATCATCCCTGCACAATTGATATGATTGTTTAACATAAACAAATTAAGAAATTTTTATTGCCAAATTTATTTTCATGTGGAATTATTTTTTATAAGGTGCGCAATCTAAATTCATGACAGAATCCACAACTCCTATCATTGTGACTATTCTCTCTTGGATTTTTTTTGTCAATGACCTCTCAACTCATCAACCTGATAATTCAACCTTGGCCGGTGGCTCTACGATTGGTCGTGAGAGTCAAGGATGTGGTGGTCGAGTTATACATCTCTCTCCACATCATATGATGATTCTTTCTTTGACTTTGTTGCAGTTAGTTCTATTGATGTCATGGGTTTTAGATTCGGGTGCTCCTTATGTGACAATTAATTGTCAAATATTTAATTGCACCGCGTCTTTTGTCTCATGTAAGAGACTTCAAAATTTTGGCTTCTCGTCTATTTCTAAGTTTGATTATCTTGCATTTGAACAAGTATTGTTAACTTTTGATTTATGATATTTCAAGGGCCGTCAAACTTATTATTCAAATACATCTCAACAAAATGATGTTGTTGAATATAAAATTCTCATTTGCCTTATATTATCATGGCATTATCGTCTCATATGAATGCCCTTTATTTCATGTTTCTAAATCTGTTTGATCATTATTTCAATCAAATTGTTCTATCAAAATTCTATAGAGTTAGCGTATGCTTGGAGAGGGAGGGCGAGAGCATTAGAGAGAGAAAGTGATTGATGAAAAGAGAGAAACCCTAGAGGCAGAGAGAAGAGGGAGAGCAGAGCCTTTAAATCCCATTGATGATCAAAGCAACCTCCTCGGGCAAAGCCTGAGTTATCAAATTGTATGTTTACTGATACATGATTGTCATGCTGAAGCTGCATGCCTCAACATGGCTATCCCTTTACTTTGCAACATAGCAAGCATAATAATTATGCTTAGAGTAATTGAGAAATCCCTGATAAAGTCTTAGTAGTTAAGCTCACTAAGTTTTTTGTTTGCGATTTCTAATTCATTTTTCAAATAAAAATTTTGTACAGAAAACTGTTCCAAACGAAACCTTAATTGAGTCCCACTCCATTAAATCCTTTATTGACTTTGAAATTTAGTTAGGACCTTGAGTTTGAATATTGGACCAAGTTTAGGCTGTAAACACCTGAAGGGAACGGAGCTTTTTCCTTCTTTCAGCAGAATTTCTCATGCCCGTTGAGCTTAAATACCAAGTTAATTTCTTATTTTTAAACTACTGATTTTGTTTTTCAGTTCTAAGCTCTCACAGCATATTCCCTTCTAATAGTTTAGCTACAAAGATGTCAAAAATAAGAATAAGCATACGTTGTATAGAAAGCCTTCTTAAAATTAAAATTAAAATGATCAAATAATCTATTAATATCATTCACTATGTAAGATCATTCAACTTAGTCAATTAAAAACAAAATTGTATCAGAACTATCACTCTTTATTGATCAGAAACAGAAAGCTACATCTACAAACAACAATCCTTCATTGCTTCTTCATATAGAAAGAACATCACACCCTGAAGCCAATTATCAAAACATAACTATACCCAATCATTCAGAAATCACAGCTCCTCCTCGTGTCTCTGCGACCCTCCCACAACCTTCTCCTTGGCAGCCTCGTAATTGGACGACAGCGTCTCCTTAGCCGCATCCAGCTTCTCCCCTGCCTTAGACTTTGCAGCATCATAGCCTTCCTTCACTTTGTTCGCCGCTTCCCCGGCTGTACTAGTGGTCGCCTCTTGTGCTTTGCCTGCCTTATCCTTGGTCGCCGCTGCAGCCTCCTTCGCCTTGTCGATGGTGGCGTCCTTCACCGCCGACGCCTTCTCTGCTGCTTTGCTCGTCGCCTCTGTGGTTGTTTGCTTTGTGGCCTCTGTAGCTTCGCCGGTCTTTTGTTTGGTTTGGCTGGCTGTTCTGGCTGTGCTGTCCTTCACCTTCCCTGCGTTGATAGAATATGGAAAAGACCTTAATTTATGTTATGTTAAGCTATACTGTTACTTCTAATATGATAACAAATCTTATAACTTCATGGAATCCTTTTGTCAGTTTTTGTTTATGAAAATTTGGTAAAGTTTAGATTTTTTTTTTTTCCGCATTCTGCTTTTTTGCTGGAAGAAAATACCTGAGATTGAATCCTTAGCATCCTTCACCGAATCCTTAGCATCTCCGGTCTTCTCCTTGACAGAATCCTTAGCATCTCCGGTCTTCTCCTTGGTGTATTCCCCCACATCTGCACCGAAATCCCAATCAACTAAATCTAAAAATTAAGGGGGTGGCAATTTCGGGTCACGGGTTAGGTTCGGGTCAAATTCAAAATTGACCTGACATTATTCGGGTAAACCCATTTCGAACCGTTTTTGCAAACTGGTCGATTTTTTGTATCCAAAACCAACCTGCTTCGTGTTCGAGTCAACCCGACACGACACGAATGATCAGGGACCATGAAAAAATTGCTAGTTTATAGGTAAAACATAGGTCAAACTCCATTTTTAGGGTAAAAACGAGTAGTAAACAGTTAAATCTCGGATTTCCAGGTAAAAAATGGTCACTTTTGAATCACTTTCAAGTCAAAGGATTAATCCGAATATATTTTTGAAACAGGTCGAATTGTTGAACCCGACCCGTTTCGGGTTCGGATTGACTCTAACCGAGAATTTTTTATTCGGATTCGAGTCAAATTTTCAGGTCGTGTCAAATATTGACACACAAAACAAAACTCAACCAAATATTATAAAATTTAAATAGAACTACCTGAAGCAATTCCGCCAGTGGTGTCCTTGGCCGCATGCCCTGCTTCTTGCGCCTTCCGAGCTGCTTCCTCAGCCTTCTCCTCCGTCTCATCTACCTGTTGATGCTTGATACCTAAGCCCTCTGAAATCTTGTCTTTGGCCCAAGTCGCCCATGACTCCGATGCTTCGTTCTCTTTATCTCCTTCGCCGGTCACCAGTACGCTTTCGTCAGCGCCGGTCTTCGCCGTCGACGCTGCTTCCGTCGAAGCCGTATGTAGGGAGTAGAGCAGTGCTACTGTTAGTATGAGAAGAAGAGGTTTGTTTGCCATTGAATGAGAAAGAAGATATGAAGAGAGAAAAAGAATGGATTTGAGAGAGAAGGGGAGATTGGTGACGATATATAGGAAGATAGCGGTGAAGAGAGTAGTTTAACTGTGAGGAACGTGTCAGGAGAAGGTGCAGAGTTAGGGTGGTCGCGCTTCACGTGTCCTGTAGCGGCGCCACGGCAGTGGAGACGTGGCAATAGAATATGAAGCAGGCTGCAGGGATTAGTTTTTTTAAAAGATTTTAGCTGGAAAGAGTTTTGGTGTTCATCTTTATTTTTAGAATATTATCAATAAATTTCAATATTTTTTTTACAATATAAATTGCTAAAATGTTGTTTATTTATTAATTATTAAATTTATTTCATAGTTAAATTTTTTTCTTATATTTATAGTAATGAGATGTCATAAAAAAATCGCATCGATAAGACGTGAATCTCGAGGCATATTTGAATTAAAAATCTTCCAATCAATTTGCGATCATTTGAACACTGATCTCATCAAACTTTTAGTCAAACTGAACGTTTAGGCAAGACAAACCCGATGACAACAAAATCAGTCTAATATGAGTTCAAATGGGAAAGTTTAAAAAGATTAATTTGTTGACAAATTAATATCCTATGCTTATAGTCTAATCGAGGGCTTGATTAGACGAATCCAACGTGATCATGATCACTTAATTATGAAATCATTAAGACATTTAAATGCTTGGTAAAAGGTCTATGATCAAAGGAATCACTAGAAGCCGTCTGATAGATCACTCCAAGCTGGATCTTCTTCATATTTAATTAGTATGCTACCAATATTTTTCATCTTAAGGGGTGAAAAAAAAAAGAGAAAAAGAAAAAGCTCTATAGCATTTTTTAGCCATCGCATGCCGACGGCCACAAGCTATTGTTGCTGACAACCACTATCATTTTCATAATATTATCAAAATTTGACCTTGATGTTGGGTAAATTTGTCCGTCTGTGGTTTCGAAAATTCATCCTGTGAAGACTAAGCTTTGTTGTTGGGTGTAAATATTTAATGTTTGTACTCTTCCATTCTTCATTTCTTCAACAGTGAAGAATGGAAGATCTTTACTACATAGTGGATTTTGCAATTGGGTTATGCATCGTGGCTTTTTCACTTTCCGGATTTTCCACGTAAAAAGTTATCTTGTTTTACTATTTTTATATATCCATGTTGAATCTTTGTACACCTCTAAGACGTGAAACATGCACGCTACCGGCTTAAGTTTTCTAGCATGCAACAAGTAATTAATCTCTTTCAATTGATTTATATTTATATTAAAATAAATTCTTAAACTTTTAATTTATCATTTAAAATTTATCATCGGAGTTATTGATAACTCGTCATCGAAGCTGTAGATAGCTCGCTAGGCTTACGATGAACTCTCTAGATTAGTTCACCTGGCATAATAAATTTATTAGGATTTTAGAGAATTTGTTGGAATATACTTCTTAAAATGTTGAATGTAGAGAATATAACAGGAAGAAATAATTTAGAGCTTCAAGAAAATCTTATGTAGTTATCTAAGCAAAACATTTCTGCCTCATGGGATAGAAAATATATAATATCTTTTTAATAGAAATATATTATGAATATTATATAAGTAAATAATAAATTTATATTAAATATACAAATATCTTAAATTGTTTTTAAATAAACATTTAAAAATTCCCCTTTTTTTAAATTGAGGGGCTGAGCATAATTCATAAATTGAAAAAAAAATGGGTACATTTTCGGTCACTATTTTACTAAAACGCTAAGTAAATTGGGCCCAAATTACATTGAGAATGGGCCAGAATTAACAATCTCAACCGACATGACACTTAAAAAGCCCATCTGGAAAAGCCTACAAAGAAGGCCCAACACGAAAAGGCTCGAAATAGGAGAACCACGAAAGCAGCCTGCAGCAACCATTAGTCAGTTAGAAAGGTCCACTGGATGATAAGAAGAGTGGAATTTTGTTGCGGAGGTGATCTTCCTATCAATTGTTTATATATAAGTCGATCTTCCTATCAACTGTTTATTTTATATTTCATGAATTTTATTGATTTAATATTTAAAAAAATATTCATGTAATTTAATTTTTGCTTTGATCGATTTTATGAAAGCAAGAAAGCACAACTAATAATTAAAATTCAAATATGCTATAATTGATAATTAAACATATATTTTAATAACTAAATAGAACCAAAGCAACCAAATAGAGTTGGTTCGGTTCGATCTTTTAATTTTATTCAAATAATATAAACCCCTACATTCGATAGACTTGCATGGGCTAGGAGTATATTAAATTGGTTTTTGAGTTTCGACCCGTTTAATTGGTGGGTTGGACTATGAACACGATAATGAACAAGTTTTAACCGGTAGAGACCTGGGTAAGGGTCATCCTGGTTGCCGGTGATTCGGGTTTTGGTCCACCTTTTTGACCTGTTTATTAAGAAGGTTGAATTCAGACCAACTGACTTCATATTGAATCAATTTTGGGTCAACCAAAACTCAACCCGTTAACCCATTATTACAACCCGTTATAAAGAAGAAGAAGAAGAAGAAGAATAAATGATGCTAAGTAAAACTTTGCTGTGTCATGACTATCTATCATTTTCACATTGGCAATTTAGAAGCCTTCTTTAATTTTGTAGAGCTATATACTACTTAAAAATCTATCCATAATTATTAGGATAGCTGCTTAGCAATTTACACTTCTCTGTAACCAATAGGTTCATTACACGTGTACTATACTAGTTGCTTTTTCACCTATTTATATCCTCTCATGTACGATGGCTAGGGTGGATAATACAAAATATTAATTCCTCTTTCTTGATTCATCTTCTGTCTCCGACCAACTCCTTGGCTGTAACCGGTCTATCCATTTCTACATGGTATCAGGCCTTTAGCTTCCTTCCTTCTTCGATCATGACGATCTCTCATTCTGACTCCTCCTCCGCCACCGAGCAACCGCCCACAAATCTGTCCGAAAACTCCCCAATCTCTCATTCACTCAAGTTTGTCGTGTCCAACCTCAAGACTCTCGTTCCATATCAATTATCACCCGACAACTATCCAATCTGGCGTCACCATATCCTCAAGCTTCTTCGTGCCAACGATTTTGAGCATTTTTTGGCTCTGCCCACTCACTCCGGCGATGTATCCGATCCATCTACGACTTCCTCCATCAAGAACTGGCGGATTACCGATCAGAATCTTCAAGCGGCTGTCTGCTCCACCATCTCTCCGATGGTGCTCCCCTATTTCATCCATCTTGATACAACTCATGAAATATGGCAGGTTCTTGAAAGCCAATTTCAAGCCACAAGCCGATCCAAGGTGATCCAGCTTCGTAACGAGCTTCATCATGTTTCTATGAAAAATCTATCCATGACACAATATTTTACCGAGATCAAGAAACTTGTCGACCAAATCACCTCCGCCGGATCCTCCATTGATTCCGAAGACATTATCCTGCATATCTTGAATGGGCTGACTCCAGCGTATCAATCATTCAAGACTTACGTTCGAAACTCTCCCCTCCCTATTCGACTAGAGAATCTTTATGCGATGTTAATAAGCGAAGAAATACATGTCAATGCCGACGCCGCTCGCCTTAATACCGATACGCTCCAGCAAGCAGCTCTGTATTCAAACAGGGGTCGCGGTCGTAGGAACCGAGGCCGTCCATCTCAAGCCCCAACCTCGACTTCTCGCTCCGGGCAGCAGCACCAGATCTCTATCTGCCAAATCTGCTCCAAGAAAGGGCACACGGCTGATGTATGCTAGCATAGGATGAACGCAAACTACATTTCACAGACGTCAACACCCAAGCAGAACAATGCGCTTGTAGCAAATTCGGAAGCTCCTTCTCAGGATTGGTACCTTGACACAGGGGCCTCCTCGCATATGACGAACACAAGCGACATCCTCTGTCAACCCACTCCATACCTGGGAACCGATGGTATCTTCATCGGGGATGGAAGAAACATCCCTATTGCTCACTCGGGCACGGGTATTCTTCCCACCTCGAATCGTAAGTTTCTTTTATCAAATTTGCTTCATGTTCCTAACATTTCCTACAACCTCTTGTCTATCTCACAACTTGTTAAAGATAACAACATCTCAATTACTTTTGATCCTTCTGGTTTTGTTTGTAAGGATCTGACGACAAATCATTAGCTCCTACGCGGTCCCTGTAGAGCAGGTCTTTACAAGATCACTCCGACGTCCAACACTAAACATCAAGAAGTAGCTTGTACAGCATCCAAGACCCCAAACTTTACTTGGCACGATCGGCTAGGCCATCCGCATTTCAAGACTATGCAACGCATTTCTCAAAGCAATTCGTATTTACGTATTTTACATTTTAACATTCCCTGTAATACTTGTATTCAATGTAAACTTCATAAACTACCCTTTGAGAACTCTAGCTCCCGCACGCACACACCACTCGAACTTGTGCACTCTGATGTTTGGGGGTCGTCCCCGGTTTCTTCCACTTGTGGCTTTCATTTTTTCGTTATCTTTGTAGACGATTATTCTCGTTATACCTGGTTGTTTCCGATTATGCATAAATCTGACGTTACTGCCACATTTATAACATTTACAAAGTTCATCGAAAATCAAACGAACTGCAACATCAAGACTATAAGGACTGACGGCGGGACCGAATTCAACAATTATTCAATGAAATCCTTTCTGGCTTCCAAAGGGACCGGACATCAACTGGCTTGCCCCTACACTCCCGAGCAAAACGGAGTGGCAGAGCGCAAGAACCGCCACATTGTGGAAACAGTTCGATCTTTGCTTCACAAAGCATATATGCCGTTTCAATACTTGCCATAGGCAAGTGCAACGGCAGTATATTTGATTAACAAGATGCCATCTCCAAATACCTACAACAAATCACCTATGCAACTCCTCTTTCACACTGTACCTGAGTACAAGCATCTCCAGATCTTTGGGTGCGAATGCTTTCCACTACTCCCGCAACATACACGAACGAAATTCAATCCAAAAT